TGTCTCCTTTGTTTTCAAGTCATGTTAAACACCCGCCCACATTATCCACAGCCAACTGCTGACACGTATGCCTCTACCTCAGCTCCCTGCTCGTCCTGTCCTGCCTGCTGTATGAATATATCCCCACTGCATGGAGGGTGGGTCTATGAAAAGTCACTGAATTATCTAGCTTTAGTAACGCTCCCCATTTCAGGTAACGTTTCCTGTATGTGAAGAGCTCTTTGTTAGATTGCTTTCTTAATAAAAAACAGTTACTAACAGTTACTGAACAGCAGTTACTAATGGTCTATACGGTATACCATTACTCCTATCACTGGTCCTTTACTCTGTATGTGAGACAGGAGGAGAAAGCTGCCCTCTTTCAGTCTCTGCTAGATCTCTGGTCCCAGTCTCTGCAGAAAGAACAAAACGCAGATAGCCTGGTCTAAACTATGTGTGGTTGTTTAAAAACAGGACAAAGTTAACTTTGGGTCAACATTTGAAAAACATCGCCTCTTGCAGAAGGAACATCCATCTCCATCTCTATGCTGATTGTCATCAATGTGTTCAAAGACCTTTTGTCTTGGGAACAAGAGTTTTTATATGGTGGAGCCTTTGGGGTCCCAGGATGTTCTAGGAGATCCTCACTTAATATTCTACTGAAAGAATATCAGCTACAGAGTCTGAAACACATGGTTATATGATCTAATATCCTCACATGGTCCATGTTTATTTTCCATTAACATTCATATTTACCTCATGGCTGTGAGATACAGCATATATTACATAGAGGAGAGAAAAATATTTGGTATTGTTTGGAGCAGGTGGTAAAAGAGAAAGACATAATAAACATGCAGGGAAATAATACTTGAGGACCAGCTTTAATGCATGTCACTACATTAAAGCCAGACTCTACAGTGATGATATAAATAACGCTAACATTTCTTCAAAATAATTCAAAGTTCTAAGATCAGAGCTTAAGGTCCAATTACTGTTAATAGACCTAATATGCAATAAGCTGATAATGTTCTGAAAAGTCTAACAACTACTAAATCAAACTAACATGAAATGACATCCTTTGGTTAGGTTTGATGTGCCAGTAGGAATCAGTGTTGGCTGCTGGTTCCTAGGCTCTCTTTGGTTGATAGAGAGAGTATTCTTTAGTTAGCTTTTGAAATCTGGGAGAACTTAAAGGGTTCTCCCGGTTAGGCTAACATGTGGATCGTCTGACAGGGTCAACATGACGAAGTCAAGAATTAAAGCACTGTTTTTTAAATAAAGTAGCTGAGTGCCTTAATGCCTCAGTTCAGCTCTCTGATAACCTAATTTGAAGCATGGATAGTTCTAGGCTGTTGTTATGTCATCTGCACTAAATACATTTCTTATGATTTTATACATTTGCACTGAAACCCTGGCTGACTGGTACCTTGGACATATTTCATGATTTAAAAATGAAGGCGTTGGACCTTTAGCTTCATTCATATTAAGGTGTGATGGTTGTTTTTATCTGCTCCTTCTGGGGTCTGCAGAGCTGCAAGAGGCTCTTTGGTTCTTTGGCTAATTTATTATATCAAACAACAAACTTCTTTTTTGTTTTATGATTTTGTTTTGCACCCCAATAAATAATAATCTGGTCCCACTTTGTCCCTTCGAAGCACCACTGCTTTGAATCATTAGAACCAAACATGGAGAAGCAGTTTTTAGTTCTTATGCTCTTCTAATCTGTAATAAACTACAAGGAAACTGTAAAATAAATAAAGACCTCTTTGTTTAGAGCAGCCTTTGACTGTGCTATCTAAACATTATAAATTAATTTTTAAGTCCAGCTTTCCTTTCATATTAATGATGCATCCTCTTCCATTTATCCATCAGGGTGATGGTGGGGCTGGTGAACAGCTCCAGCAATTTATGGGTGAAAAGCAGGAAACCCTGGACCAGTCGCTAGCCAGTCTCAGCACAGAGACATGCAACCATGCAGACATTCATCTGTGAGGACAGTTCAAAGATACTTATTAAGTTATTTTTTTGGACTGTGAGTAGAAGAGTACCTGGAGAGAACCCATTGATGCTTCGGAGAGTACTGAGTCTTATCGCCCTGTCAGTCAGTGTGTCTGGCCAGGCCAAGTCTGTGATGCCATAGTAAGTTACTGTAAGCATTCTGTGAATTCCCCATCATGCTAAACAAACACAGAGTGTAATACAGTCAATTGACTGGATGATCTGGTTGAACTGTAAAGTGCCTTGAGATGACATGTGTTGTGAATTGGCGCTAATTAAATAAACTGAATTGAAAATTGAATTGAAACTCTTCATGCTTCACTGATTCTGTTTAGGTTTGCGTGTTGCTTGTTTTTCTTTTTTTTATTATGTTAAAAATTGTACCTGACATTGAAACTGCATTGTTTTCAATAAAAAACATAAAGTGGATTGAAAATTCTTTTGACAATGTTCTATGATTTTTGACTGTTAAAGCTCCACCTTTCCTCTATCTAGGATAATTATGTTTATTTCTTCAGTACTCTGACAGTATATGAACCTATTAATATGCCTGGAGTATTTGAACACAAATAGATCCAACAGGTGTGAGAGAAAAACAGAGAAAGGTTTGAATGGAGAATAAGAGCAGAAAAAGTGATCTTTGTGGTTGAGGAAGTAGCAAAAATGAGGAAATATAAAGTAAGGAAGACAGTGAAAAGGAGGAAGAGAGAAGCAGTAGTTCATGATGACATGTGGAGACTGGACAGACAGTAGTACAGTTGTGGAGTCCTAACTAGACTCTTTAATAGATATTAAAGAGCAAAAACATGTCTGGAGAATGGAGAGGTGTGCTGGCACCATTTTTCAAAGGCCAGGGAGATGTGCAGAGTTGGAACATCTATAAAGCAATAAAACAGATTCATGCTATGAAGTTGTGGGAAAGAGAAGTGGAAGCAGCATTAAATATGTATACAGTATTTTGAAACAAGGATGTTGATGGAAAACTACAGAGAGGGTTGGAGGGAACTGCACTGTGTGAAGTTCCCATAAAGTTCATGACAGTGTGCTGAGGAAGGTGATATGGTACAGAATGAGACGCATGTGTGGAAGAGAGAGACGATGATGATGTGTGCTGTAGCTGTGAAAGAGCAGTTCAAATCCAGGTTGATGTTCTAAGTATATGCAGATATTCTAGATTGTAATGTAACAATGCTTTTTGAGATCTAATTCAAACCACTGTGCAACTACACTCACCGGCCACTTTATTAGGTACCCCATGCTAGTAACGGGTTGGACCCCCTTTTGCCTTCAGAACTGCCTCAATTCTTGGTGGCATAGATTCAACAAGGTGCTGGAAGCATTCCTCAGGGAGTTTGGTCCATATTGACATGATGGCATCACACAGTTGCCGCAGATTTGTCGGCTGCACATCCATGATGCGAATCTCCCGTTCCACCACATCCCAAAGATGCTCTATTGGATTGAGATCTGGTGACTGTGGAGGCCATTTGAGTACAGTGAACTCATTGTCATGTTCAAGAAACCAGTCTGAGATGATTCAAGCTTTATGACATGGCGCATTATCCTGCTGAAAATAGCCATCAGAAGTTGGGTACATTGTGGTCATAAAGGGATGGACATGGTCAGCAACAATACTCAGGTAGGCTGTGGCGTTGCAACGATGCTCAATTGGTACCAAGGGGCCCAAAGAGTGCCAAGAAAATATTCCCCACACCATGACACCACCACCACCAGCCTGAACCGTTGATACAAGGCAGGATGGATCCATGCTTTCATGTTGTAGACGCCAAATTCTGACCCTACCATCCGAATGTCGCAGCAGAAATCGAGACTCATCAGACCAGGCAACGTTTTTCCAATCTTCTATTGTCCAATTTCCATGAGCTTGTGCAAATTGTAGCCTCAGTTTCCTGTTCTTAGCTGAAAGGAGTGGCACCCGGTGTGGTCTTCTGCTGCTGTAGCCCATCTGCCTCAAAGTTCGACGTACTGTGCGTTCAGAGATGCTCTTCTGCCCACCTTGGTTGTAACGGGTGGTTATTTGAGTCACTGTTGCTCTTCTATCAGCTCAAACCAGTCTGGCCATTCTCCTCCGCCCACAGAACTGCCGCTCACTGGATGTTTTTTCTTTTTCGGACCATTCTCTGTAAACCCTAGAGATGGTTGTGCGTGAAAATCCCAGTAGATCAGCAGTTTCTGAAATGCTCAGACAAGCCCTTCTGGCACCAACGATCATGCCACGTTCAAAGTCACTCAAATCACCTTTCTTCCCCATACTGATGCTCGGTTTGAACTGCAGGAGATTGTCTTGACCATGTCTACATGCCTAAATGCACTGAGTTGCCGCCATGTGATTGGCTGCTTAGAAATTAAGTGTTAACGAGCAGTTGGACAGGTGTACCTAATAAAGTGGCCGGTGAGTGTATATTAGAGTTTTTTATCTATTGACTGTGCAATATTCTGTGCAATATGATGACTGTGCAATATATGTGAATAGAATAGTCATACCACTACCTCACCGTTTTTCCTTACCTACTACACTTTAAAGTAAAAGTCAATCCACCTGTTTATAAGCCATCCTGATTGTACATATTTCACCTCAAATCTCTGTGTTACTCCCTTGTATTTTTTATTTCTTATTTTTCATCTTTTTATTTATTTTTATTTTATTTATTTTTATTCCTAAAGCACCTTTCCCTCCTTGTTTGCACCTTCTTTAATTACTATGCCAATATGTGACCAGTGAATTTCTCTGCTGTGAGATCAATAAAGCTCATCTAATCTAATCTAATCTAATCTAATCTAATCTAATCTAATCCAACTGTTTGTTGAAATGCTTATAAACATGTATATATAAATTAGCCTTGAACAAGAATTTCACAAATTCAAGCGTTCAAGTATTCAGAACCCATTTTATTCCTTATTCTAATGATTTGTGCTTTATCATAAAGGTGCTGCACTTCTTCATCCAGTCTCTAGACAGCAGTAAATATTTCCACCCTCTCAGCCTGTGAGGTCAGAGTTTAACAGGAAAGAGACGGAAACAGGAAGTTTGAGCTGCTGTAACAAAGTACAACTGCTTCTCTCAGTAAATTCAGCTCTTTCTGTGAAAAGCTGGACTTACTTCAAAACTAAATAAAAAGGATGAAGAAATGACACCGGTGAGAAATTCAACTGTTTTTGTTTTCTAATTCAGGGTCAAGACAAATAACTTACTGTTGTCTTTTAGTTGTTGCCTTTGAAGAAAACGTTTGTAAATGTTCATATTCAGCTTTGGTTCAGTTCAGTCATTTTGTCATTTTAAAACATGTTTTAAAAAAGATTTTATTCCCTTTTGACACAAAGCTTAACAGTCTGACACTGTGATATAAACAGTTCCTTGTCTCTCTACTCCCCAACCACGTTTTATGCTATTATAAGGAGACGTGAGTGTGCAGCTTGGGATGATGCAACAATAACATCCATATTATAGAAGTATGGTGCTGGTTAAACAGAATATGTCTATTAACTGTAAATTAGATTAAAAAGTTAATTGTGGATTTTTTATATGAGAGAATAGTGTAATGGGAAAAAAAGTATTCAACTATTCACTCAGTCTGCACTTTATTTTCATCTTTGCAAAGAGAGAACAGTTCATCATATAACCCTTATTGCATGGTAATCAGCCCTGTTCTGACCTGGGTAGCGTTTGTTTCCCATTAATTACAATAATGGAAACAATTAACAGACACTTTGGTTAAACAGTAACATGTTATGAATAAACCTTGAGAAAGAATCTGTTTTGTTTTGGGAAGAAGCTATGTCAGGTCTACAAACATCCTCACGCAGGGGAATTGAGTGGCCTTGCAGGTGAAACAGGCTGAGTGAAAAATTTTATAGTGAGTAAATAGCATAAAAGATTAACAGACACAGCTCAAATTAAGAGCTTAAAAAGCAGCAGACTGTAAAACATGAACTAACAAGAATATAAAAGGAAAAGGGACATTCAAATATAATTAAAACAAAAAACTCACTTTTAAAAGCCACATAACAAAATAGGTTTTTGTCTCTTAGAGCCTCTCTAATGACTCTCTATAGACATTATATACGTAAACGCCTTGTTGGGTCTGCCTATGCTGCTGATGTGACGAAGCGTCCGCCATGTTGAATGTGGAAAATCTGCTCTTAGACACTTAAACAGTATAAGAGGGACTTTAATCTTAGAATATACTTTATATTCGTGATATTCTTATTTTTTTTCAATATTATGAGTTTATTTTCATATCCATTTGGCTTCATTCTTCTGACTTTATTCCCGTAAAGAGTAAAACTAATTAGAACAATCTAACCTTGACTTGTTACTCCAGGACTGAAATAGCTCAGCAAACTATGATGACTATTCTTGAAATGTTCCCCCTAATACTCATATACTAATACTAATACTCATATGATGTTTTTTTTCATAATATTACCAGTTTTGTCTTATTTTTAACTTGATTGTCCTAGGAATTTTTCTTTCCTCATATTAGTCATTTTATGTCTTTAACACTCCCCAAAAGTCTGTTCCTAATATGTGTCTATAACAGATCTTAAAAGGTTCACATGTGATACAATTTATGAACTAATGAAGAACACAATGTTTAGATCTAACTAACCAAATTTTATATTCATAACACACACACACACACACACACACACACATATATATATATATATATATATATATATATATATATATATATATATATATATATATATATATATATATATATATATATATATATATATATATATATATATATATATATGTATATATATGTTATGTATATTTATATATATGAAATATAAATGCGAGCAGACCTGTTTTCTTCTGTTAAACCATTGCTATATTTCCACGCAGCACAGGAACGAGGCATCTTCTCTGATCGATGTTCACTAAAACAGACGTTAACTACTTTCTGCTACATAAAATATGGCGGTGACGTTGACGTGCAAACCTGCACCAACAAGGCTTCTATGTGTATATGTGTCTGTTTTCTACACTCAGGGAAGTGGGCTTCAGCTTCAGCTGTGGTTTTACACTTGGCCCAAGTCTTGGCCACTGGTGCCACCACTGTAGCAGCATCAGTTTAGCATTCATCCCATTATGAACAGCCAGTGAAGTAACAATAGAAATCACACAACAAACCAAGATATGAGTAGTTGTTTACTTAAGTCTTTATGATTTTTACAGGTAGGTTTACCACAATATTAGATTCAAACCCTGATATTATGGTTAGTTTCATTGTGCCACCCCAAGATTTTTAGTGGCCCATTTGGCCACTGTTATAAAACATTTTTGGAGGCATCACTGTGCTCGACGACTGTTGGTAGATTGTAGTGTAGCATTGGTTTTGGACAGTAAAAAGGGAAGACAGTAAAAAGTGGAGGGAACATCTCTTCTGCCTTACTCCTGGCAGCTGCTTCAAAGGGCCTGGCTCCCCAAGGCCCCAAGGGAGCCCTGCCCCCCGATGGGACCCATTGCTGGTTTACCTTTGGGGTGGTCTTACTCGGATCAGAGAAGTTGCTTAGTTACAGAAGGCAGCTCTTGCCACCCAGGCTCACCTCTCATTGAAGTGGCCTCGAATCACAGAGAAGCGTTTTATACATCTCCAGTCTGCCACATCATTAATTTATTACATAATTACATCATACAGGTTTGCAGTTGAGGAAACATCTATGACTCCAGCTTTATCAAAATATAACTCTATGTTCTTAGATCAAAGACACCACTCTCATTCCAATAACAAATCATTGACACGTACATAATGAAGATTACTTTTGAATTGTCCTAATTAGATAAGTAATTAGATTAGTTCTGACACATAACAGGCAGTTATTATTAGGGTATAACAGACACACATTATCAATAGGATTATCCCAAAAGAATATTACCTTTACTTATTATTTATTTTATATTTTGCTTTGCAGTAAATTCATTTGAATTGGAACTGAATTTACGTTTGTTTTTTTTTGTTTTTTTTATTTCTTTGTATTTTCTTGTCTGTTAATGCATTCATGTGTCTTGTCTGTTTTTGCAGGTTAGAAAAAAAAGTGTATTTCGTTGAACATCTGACACAGAGCCAAGAAGGCAACGACCTGCAAACATGGAACAGAATAAACTTGTAGACAGTGTTAAACTTAACCTTAAAGCGCATGTTCGGAAGAAATTTACCTGGACTTACGAGGGAACAGACAGTCGGACCAAACTTAAAGATGTTTACACAAAGCTCTTCTTTGTCGAACAGGTTGACCAACATGGCTGCAAACCACATGAGACTTTTCATCATTTTATGCTCCCTAATGAGGAGTCACCATATTTGGGGTTAGGCTATGAAAAGATTAACAGCCTGGACATTTTTAAATCAGGAAAAAAGTTTTCCCAGCAACAACCAACACAAAGCAAGTCCACCCAAAGAGTGATGACAAAAGGTATCGCTGGGATTGGGAAAACGTTTGCTGTCCAAAACTTTTCTTTACACTGGGCAGAAGGAGAATCCAATCAGCACATTGGTTTCATCTTCATCCTTCCTTTCAGAGAGCTGAACCTGCTTAAAGACGGGGAACACAGTCTGATGCAGCTTCTTCTTTACTTCTACCCTGAACTGAAACCACTCAAAGATACAAAACATCTGACTAATGAGAAGGTGCTGTTTATCCTTGATGGCTTAGATGAAAGTAGGTTTTTACTGAACTTTGAGGAAGCCATGATTGTAAGAGAGATAAATGAAAAAACATCGGTTGAATTGCTGCTGATCAACTTGATCAAAGGTCATTTGATGCCCAATGCTTTGCTCTGGATTACATCCAGACCTGCTGCAGCTTCTCAGATTCCTCCAGAGCACATTGACCTGGTCACTGAAGTACAGGGATTCACTGACCAAGAGAAGAACAACTACTTCCAAAAGAGACTGAGTTCTGTCCAGGAGGCTGAGCGACTGCTTTCATGTCTGAAAGGGATGATAAGTTTCCATTTAATGGGACATATCCCAGTTTTCTGTTGGATCATTGCTGAGGTGTTTAGGAAGGGATGGGATGACAAAAGCATCACAACAATGACAGAGTTGTACATCCGCTATGCTCTGATCCAAACAAAAAGGACAACATGGAAATATGAGACAAAGAGTTCCAAGAACAAAGCCCAAAAGAAGATCAAGTCAAAGAACGATAACCTCCTGTTCAATCTATCCAAACTGGCCTTCGAACAGCTGTGTAAAGGAAACATCATCTTCTATGAAGAAGACCTCATAGAGTGTGGCATCAATCCTGATGAAGCTTCTTGGTTTTGTGGGTTTTGCTCAGAGATTCTGAAGCAAGAATTTGGTCTGTACCAAAAAAAGATGTTCAGCTTTGTACATTTGAGCTTCCAGGAGTTTCTAGCAGCTGTTTACGCATTCAACTGCTGCAAGACAAAGAACCTTGAACCTCTGAGGTCCTTCCTGGGTTTCATCCCTACAGATCTGAGCTTCTTTGAATTGCAGAAAACTGTTGTGAACAAAGCCCTGCAGAGTGAAAAAGGTCAGTTTGACCTTTTTCTCTGTTTTTTCCTTGGACTCTCATTAGAGACAAATCAAGAAATGATGCAACAGTTGCTTCCCCAGACAAAGGCCAGCACAGAAACCACTGAGAGACTAAAGATGTACCTAAGAAAATTTCATGCTGGAAGCATCCCAACAGAGAGGTGCATCAATCTTTTTCTTTGCAAATATGAACTAAAAGAAAACGAGTTTCAGGATGATATTGGAAGGTACCTAAAATCAGGAGCAAGACTCTCACCTATTGACTGTACCGTTCTATCAACCCTGCTAATGATGTCTGGTGAAGTGATTGAAGAACTCGATCTGACAAGATGCTACACACCACCATTTGGAACTGAGAGGTTTCTGAGGCTAATAATGAACTGCAGGAAGGCTGTGTGAGTATAAACACACTATAAAGATGATAAAACAACAGCAATAGAATTCCTGTTGCTTTTCATTTTTGATTTTGCAATATATGTCAGAAATACAGGCACATTAAAATCTCAGTCCTCAACAAACAAATAGGCAATAATGTAGCATAATGCAGGAAGGTAGGTGAAGTGGCTGACCTGTTTATATATATTTTTAACCAAAGTGTCTATAAATGCTATTCTTTCATATACATGTGGATTGACAGAGAGCGGTAGGTGCAGAGAGTTGCAGAATTTGTGAGGTTGGGTTCAGTGAAGGGGCAGTTTGAGTTCAGGGACACATTTGAGCAAACCTGAGAACTGATAAATTACTCAGTTCTTTAGCCTGCTTTTTCTGCCCTATAAGTTTCTTCTCTTTCTTACTGATGTTAGCAAGTTGATGAGGCTGAGAGATGGTTGAGTGGGGTCACCTATAGACTTCAGAACTTTGTGGATGATGCAGGTTTCTATGAATGCCTGGAATGGAAAGCCTTCAGAGGTTTTCTTTGTGGCATTTTTAATGCAAACCAGGGTCTTGAGACATACCACAGAGGGACAGCAGGGACAGGATCCTGTTGGTGGTCCCTCTGTAAAACTGACCCATCATACAGGCAGACTGTGGTTCAGGGGATGTTTGTGTCTTAGCTTGTGGGCTGCAGGTTCAAAGTCCAACTCAGTCTGTCTCAGTAAATGTGTCCTTGGTCAAAAGACTTAACCCACTTGGGCAGCTGCTGGTGGTCAGAGGACTCAGTGGCATCAATTGTATTGCAGTTCTGCTCCAAGGCATCTGAACGCACCCTGAATATTGGATATAGTCTGCTTTTGGATGTAGTATGGGTTTTATTTGGCATATTTACTCTGTGATTGTTGCTTTTATAACAGGCTCAAGAGCGAACATGTGGGAACATTTGACCTGGAGATAGTGTTATCTGTTCTTCAGTCTGCCAACTCAAGCTTACAAGAGCTGTGTCTGCATGGTCTTTATAACACTGGGGGGGATTTCCCTTATGATCTCTGTTATGCGCTGGAAAGTCCACAATGTAGACTACAAACCTTGAGGTCAGTCAAGTAAAAATATTCAGTCTGATTCTATCTGAAAACATTGCTTTGTCAGTAGTCCTGCGGCTTGCTAACATGATTTTGTTTGTTCACAGGGTGTCTGGTTTCTCACTGGACTTAAGGCGTTGTAACACACTTGCCACCATTCTTCAATCCAAACTGTCCAACCTGACAACATTGGATTTGACAAACTGTATTTACAGCTACAATCAAGATCACTCTGAGTATTATTCAAAACATGAGACGAAGGAGAAATATGAGGATTTCATTGATGACCTAACACCATTGACTCTAATTTGTGCTGGTTTGATTGGACCTCTCTGCAAGCTGAAGGAATTTAGGTAAAGTAATGAAATGAAAAGGCCATTTCAAGAGTTTTCTCTCTTTTACATCCTGCTTATAATTCTTCTCCTTATTGCAGTATGATGAAGTGTCTTTTGAGAAGCAGATGTTGTCAGGTGTTCGCTTCAGCTCTCAGCTCCAACAGCCAGCTGAGGAAACTCAATCTCAGTTACAATGAGATCCAGGATTTGGGGGTGCAGCTACTGTCAGCTGGACTAGGCAATTCAAAATGTCAGCTGGAGTCACTCAGGTAAAGATAACACTTCATATCACTATGTGATAAATTCCCATATTCCCATATTCCTCATATAATGTTGCATGGAATATTACTTTAGAGTGGGTTGATAAGACTGAGAAACTGCTGTGTAATATCAATTGGGTCACTATCTTATAACACTATCTCTGGAAGAAACTTCCTAAAAACACAATCAGTTCATCTTTAAAGTTTCCCTGAGGTGGTTTTGTTGAGCTGAGACCAACTTACTGATAACTTTTTTTTTTCTGATGAACATTTGATGCAATTTGTACAGGTAGATAACAGGATGGATGACATTGGGTGGTGAAAGAGGTTCTGTCCCATGTGCATCAAAGCAGGTCCTCATTGACTCCTTGGGTGGAATCTTACTAAGAATCTTACTTAGTGTGGGTTAATTTATTTAGAAATTGTGATCCGATTGCAAGCACATTTTGAACATTAGAGTGAAAAGAGGAGCTGAGCGTTCAACTGATCAGTCGGGTAGGAGGATAGATGCAGTGCATCCAAGGTTATAGAGAAGGCATCCTAATGAAGTGTGGCCAAACCTTAACATGGCCAATCACTGTCAATATGCTTCCAGTATTAGCGGGTAAGACATGAACAAAGTTTACAAATACTTCAGACTAATATTGCAGATGTGATATTTTTAGTTAGATCAGCAGCTATTGGATAATATGTTAAAATTACTGTGTTTTTTCCATGTAGTTGAACTATTAATTAGTGAATAAGTGGCACTGTGGGTGGTACATACTGCCTTTTTGACTACCATCATCCTAGGAGTTATTTTGATGATATTGCAGTAAAGTCTTAATGAGAGGGTTTCATTGTTGGCATGCAGATGCCTTTGATTCCCAGAGACATTCTAGAAGTAGCTTACAAGCAGTTCAATCTATTTTTTTTGTGTTTGCCTTTTCTTTTCTACAGACTGGCATGCTGTGGGATCACAGCGGAAGGATGTGCTTCTTTGGCTTCAGCTCTGAAGTCCAACCCTTCCCATCTAAGAGAGCTGGACCTCAGCTATAACTACCCTGGAGAGTCTGGAATGATGGTGCTCCTTGAGAGACTGAAAGATCCAAAATGCAGACTGGAAATACTTAAGTTGGTTTTCTGTAGTCTTTACACTAATGATGGTGTTACTATAAATAGAGACAACTTAACAGAATATTGCACAAAATAACAGAGTTGTCATGATAGGCTTAAGAGGCTGAACCCACATACAGAACACCACAGGAAGCTGAGCAAAAGTTGAACAGAGTTTATTGAAAAACACATAGAGTAATTATGAACTGGTTCTGGTACAGGTCCGGGACTGGAATCACTGACATCTGCAGAGATGGATAGTTTGATTAGCCAGGCAGCGAGATGGCTTGTCAAGTGTGTTAATTCAGAATGTACCTAGTTGAGGTTCTGGCAGATCCTTTGAGAGAGGGGGGGAACCGGTTGGGTCCAGAGACTGTAGATTCAGCAGGGAGCTCAGCGGCAGCAGCGTCTAGCTTCTGACTCGTGAGTTTCAGACCTTGACTTGGTTTCCTAGCTCTTCCTTGAGAGCTGTTGGGGGAATCCAGACTGATGTCTTCGGGTTTGGCTTCCTTGGGCAGGCAGGCAGGTTTCCAGACAAAGCTCATACAGAGCTTCAGACTTCGATCAGGTTTCCTATGGGGCAGAGAAGACAGAGGCAGGTTAGAATCTAGTTCCTCTCTAGAGTCTACTAGGATTCTATAAATTAACAGAGGCTCAGGTTCGCTAACCAAACTTGGTCAACACTGCGGCGTCGAAGGAAGGTTTGGCTGCTGCTTATGTAGGAAGGTCTCCTGATGGGCTGATGAGCTTCAGGTGTGCTGGAGGCTCCAGCCCAGGAGACCCACAGCGCACTCTGCTGGAGAAAGGTGGTAAATCTCCAGATCCCAACAGTAACCCCAGTCCCTAACAGAAAACGGAAAACAGAAGAGGATCCTAGGCGCCCTCTGGTGGGCAAAGCCTCAGGATCCCAATAATAGTCATAAAAAACCTCTAAAATACCATCTGACATTAAGACATTAATTCAGTTTATTTATATATTACTGATTCAAAACCCAACTTCTAAAAGCATTTGGCAATGGTTTAATATTTTTGTTAATTGCTTTCTGTTTTTTCTTTTCTTAGGGTAAAACTGAAGTAATTTCCTTTCTTTGTTTTGGATTTAAATATAAACAAAAAATGCCTGGATTTAGACAATCCATTACTTGTGCTTTAAAATGTTATTTGTCATTAAAAACAAACAATTTAAAATACTAATACAAAGATGAGAGGGGTAGATATTCACTTTGGATTTATATTTCTTATATTGATTCCCAACATCGATCATTTGAGGTTTGAAACTATCAATTTTTTATTCTTTTTCCTGCTTTTGTTTTCTCAGTCTGGATCAGAATGAAGAACATTGGGTCAGACCACAGCTTCTGAACAAATGTAAGTTTTTTTAAAGATGTCATGTCCTTATCAGACATTATTTATCTGTTTAACTCTGCTCTTTTACTTCTTAGATGCCTGTAATTTGACCTTTGACATCAATACAGCCAATGAACACCTTATCCTGTCTGAATGTGGCAGACAAGTTACTTTAACAGAGGAGAAGCAAACTTATCCTGATCATCCTGACAGGTTTGAATGCAGGGGTCAAGTGCTGTGCAGAGAGGCTCTATCTGGACGCTGTTACTGGGAGGTGGAGTGGACAGCGTGCGGTGTGAACGTTGGTGTTGCCTTTAAGAATGTTAAGAGGAAAGGATGGGACGCAGAAATACTAAGGAGTGATGAAACCTGGTTATTTTATAATTATTCATCAAGGGGTTTCTCATTTCAACACAGACATCAGGCTGTCTTCCTTCCACTCCCATTTATTGATGTTAAAGCATTCCTGGCCCGACCCATGAGACTGGGCATATTTCTGGACTCAACTGCTGGCATTCTGTGTTTCTATTGGCTCTCTGATGACACAAGGACTCTGCTTCACACGTTCCACTCAACTTTTACTGAGCCTGTTTACCCTGTATTTAGTACTCTTGGAGGTTCTCTTACCCTGCCAGCTGTTGAAAAGCTGGAAATGGATCATGTGAGTTTTTCTGGTTGTTACGTAGAACCCAAACTAAAGCTGTGAATAATGGAGATGTTTCCTCATATAGACTGTCTTCTGTTCAAGGTTCCATTGGGCTTCACGCCTGAGGTCAGCAGAGAGAGAATCGGTATCTCTTACAGGTACAGTAAGACATCCATTTCTGCATCTGTTGATGAATTCAATGATCTACAATTTAAAATATTGTTTTATCAATATTTTAGGCTTCCTACAAACCTTTTATACAGAGGGCTATGATTCAATTGATTGAACAAATGAAATAACATCAGATGCTTTTTGAAAAAAAAATTATTCAGTGGACAAACTTGAAAAAGTCTACACACTTTTCCTAAGACTGACAAGAAAGTGAATAATTCTGACATGTGTTCCTCCATCATTTAGTGATAGAAAACCCCTCAAAATCACACAAATAAATTGAATCCCAGTAAATCCACTGATACCTGTGACTGTCAATAAGACATCTTAACCTCTCCGCATGTTCATTCCTTGTAAGCGAAATGCTCCAGTTCTCTCAGGTATGAAGGCTGCCTTTTACAGAAAGCCTTTTTCAGCTGCATTCAAAGATGCTCAACAGGATTTAATTTAGGTTTCAGATAAGACCACTTCAGAGGAGTTGCAATGTTTTCCCCTTGGCCAGCCTTGGCTGCTTAAAATAATAAAATAATTCTCTCTACAATCCCTTAATATTCTTTAGAATATTGGAAGAAATTCAGACTCCCTGTGCCAGATGATGCAAAGCAGCCCCAGAGCATAACATAGCCTCCTCCATGTTTCACAATAGGGACAGTCTTCTTTTCTTTATATTCCTCATTTTTCTATCTCTGAACATTGGCCTATGTGCCTTGGCAAAAAGGACTCTTTTTGTCACATCAATCCACAGAAATTTCTCAGAGGAACTTTATGGTTTGTCAACATGTACTTTGGCAAATTCTAATGTTTTTTTTTTTCTTTTCAACAATGGGGTCCTCCTTGGTCATCTCCCATTGAGTCCAATTTGACTCAAACAACTTAAGATGATGGTCTGACTCTGATGGTCCTTGTGCTTGAAGTTCACCTTTAATCCTTTTAGACGTTTTTCAAGGCTCTTTTGTTACCATACCTATTATCCATCTTATTAATTTATTCCCCTCCTGCTGCCATGTCCAAGGAGGATGGCTAAACTTCCAAAAATGTTACATTTATAGAAATGTGCAACTACAGTCACAGGAACGTCAAGCTGCTTGCAGATTGTCTTATAGCCTATACCTTTAACTTTCTTCTTTTTTTTATTGCTTTATTATAATTATGCAGGGAGTTTTACAGATTATATGGACACTGCAATGTAAATAGAACAGAAGAGGAAAATCAGAAAAAAAGGAGAAAATATGAGAGAAAGAGGAGATAAAAGAGAAATAATGAAAAAACATTTTCAGTCTGCTTCATCACCTGCAAAGAGATGTAAAAACAACAGCACAACCAACAGGCATGGTAGGAGACATACAATAAAGTAACACCTAGATACTATCGCTGAGGTAGTATTATTTAATCTGACATGTACTCTGTGTTACTTGAAGAGAAGAATATGGGTTTTCTGTATGGAAGTGAATCTCTAAGAAAGCTGGAACCAAGCTCCCATTGTTATCTGTGAGAGTGCACTTGTGCCTGTAAAGTTTATCCAAAGAAAAAATGCTCAATAGTGGTTGTGGAGAGCCGAAGAGGCGCCCCCCCAGAGTACTGAGTCCAGGGCCGGGAGACCCAAAACCCCAGATATCCAAAGTGACCCCAAGAGCGAAGGCACCAAGGAGGGGCCGGCCCAGGAAATCAGACCCCGACCAAGGGAGGAGGAGAGACTTTCCATACTTCCATACTTGGCGGACAACACATTCACACATAACACTCACATCCAATAATACCAGTACCAAAGACCCAGCGACACCGGTGGTGGGTCCCGGGATTATCGGATAACCCAATAAGTTAACCTAAAATCCGGATGGGGTGGAGGGGGGCGCTGGCACCGCCACACCAACCCATCTCGTTCCTGCTTCGCGCCCGGCCCCCCACCCTGCACCCGGACAAAACCCCCCAGCAAAAGCTCCCCCGGGATCGGGAGTCATCAGCGCCAAGATCATGACAAAACATCCTTGTGTTTAGGAATGCTGCTATTGAGTTTCAAGTAGGAAAATGTTGGAAATAGGTGTTAAAGGGATAATGATATGAATGACTTTATGATCAGGTATGGGTGAGGGAAGAATCAGTCGGTCGATTGACTTGATAAAGATTTGTTAGACTAGGTTCTGCTTTATTTGATGGGGGGAAAAAACAAACTTTTTATTAAAAAACTGAACGCATTTTACAAGAGCTCTTTTAATGTTGCTATAAACTATGTTTTTTTATAAGAGATTCTAACCAAATGTGTAGTGAAAGGTGTACATTTTGGCACTTGCTGTACCATCCTTGTTTCATTGTGCGCTCAGATTGGTAATTATGTGCAGAAATTGGCTTTCAAAATGTTGGAAAATGATGTGTTTTGACTCACACATGTTTAGCTTGTTATCTTCGTCATGCACACACCCCCATACAAGTTGACCAATAGGGTCCACTGGGTCCAGAAAGCAAGATGAGAAACTCTTTTTTTTTTTTTTTTTTTTTTTATATTGTCAACAATCACTTTTTCTGTTTCAGCTTCCAGTTTCCAGGCTCAGGTCTGTATCGATGTTCTCTGACTGGTCTGGTGTTCAGAGTGACGCATAAAGGGGAAGTGATGTACAGGACTCAGATTTGGGACGACATGCTCCTGCAGCTATCTAATAAACAGCCTGGTGGACCTCTGTTCAGCATCCAGTGCCCTCAGGACTGCATCGGTGAACTGCAGCTGCCACACTGTGAACCAGAACCAGGTAAACCATCTCTGAGTTAACTCTGATAAACTGCATCAGATTCCTCCTGTTTCTCCAAAATGGAGCTCTGCTTCTGCTGTCTCCCAGCTCTGGTGTCTGACTGCCTCTATGTTGGCCACGTCACTGATGATGGGATGAGCATCATTCAGCCGCTGAAGGTCACAGAAACCCACGTGGCTGTAAGAGTCCCTCACCTGTCTGGCTTTGGCATCATATTGGACCGTATCAAAAAGATAAAAGCCCACCTGATGAAGCCGATTCGGGGCCAAGTTCTGCTGTTCCTGAGACACCTGCATCGACCTCTCAACATCCTCAGTGTGATTCTGCTGCCGAGCAACGTTCCTCTGCAGGATGTAAAACTTTACCCCAATAATTTTAAACTGACTTTAGCTGTATATTTCTAAACAAATGGTTCTGATTTGAAGGTGAAAGAGCATCACACAGACTCCGAGTTCATCCAGGCTCCGTCCTTCAGTTTCTTCCACAAGAGCAAAACGTACAGCCTCCATAGCGACCCAGACGGCTTTACAATCCAACCTAAAGTGAGCTTCAGACCTGGCATCTGCACACAGAGAAGCTTTAGATTTCATTTCATGTGAAGTTAATTAATGATATTTCTATATTTTTTCAGGCCGCTCAGTTCTTTGAGAACTATGGGCCGAATTACCACGCCACGTTTGAGATCACGCTGCCAACGAGCACAGAGGAAGTGACTGTGATGGTTCGGAGTCTTGAAGAGGAGAAGGTCTGGGACTATGTCCTCCATCTCCCAGGTAAAGAAAACATCTCTGTTCTTAGCTAAGTGATTCGCCTGCTGTAATTTTAATCTACTGGCAGGAGAAAAACCTCAGGGATTCAGAATATATGCTGTATGATTTATTTCTATTATAACAAATAAAAGAAATATACTTTATGCATATGTTGGAATTATAACATATTAATAAGGTGATACAGATGTAAAGACACAAAAACCTGTCTGTATGATGCTTTTGTTTTGACTAAATACAAATTAAAAATAGCTGAACTCCTCTGTGTTTTAATTAAAAATAGCTGAACTCCTCTGTGTTTTCATTATGTTATATATACAGTAAATTTGATAGAGAATGCTGCCCTCTGCTGGGCACTACCATGATTTTAAGGAGAAGTGGTTCTTAAAGGCATATTTGTTGTTAAAAGGAGATCAGAAAACCTGTGATAGAAAAGCTTTGTGTTTCTGAGCTGGAAACTGTGCTGGACTGCAGATGTCAGGAGAAAAAGTCAGAATATCATTTATCTGACCTTAAAACAAGAAAGATGTTTCAAAAGTTTAGGAATAAAAAAACATATTTTAACTTAAACTGATCAGTTTAACTCACAATGCTGAATGATGGGATGTACAGAAGAAAGTCCCTAACAACCTTTACATGGAGAGTAAAAAATAAAATGTCATTGCTAAAGAAGACTTTTGTGGAATAGAAACTGGAGGGGAAGGAAGCTGTGGAGGAAAAGGTTCACCAGCAACATGGAAATCTGGGATAACATAAAGCTCACAAAGCCAGGACTGAGGACCAATTATAGATGATCTGATGGCTTCCATTGGACCTCAGCAGAATCACAGCCTGGTGGCCTTTTTATTAATGCAGCATGGAAAGGAGCCCAAAGCAAATATAGAAGACATAGAAACGAACATTCCGGAAGCCTGATGCTTCTCTTTGAAAGGTCATAAAATATTAAATTTTTCTGACCACTAAATGTTGTTTTTTTATTATCTTGATAAAAATCCAAATAACAAGAGATCAAGGTTTTAAAACAACATCTTCAATATTTACGGAATCTGTATAATAAATGAATTTTACTTGAAAAGAAAGACAAAAACCACATAACATTTTTAAGGAACCGTAATATTTGGGGCTTTAAGTGTATTTTCTAATATATTCCATTATTAATCCATCATGTAACATTTAGAAACTCTGAGCATTGCTTTGTTTCTGCTTCCTGATGCACTACGTTTCTGTCTCCAGTTTCCGTGTCTCCTGCTTCTGCAGAGGACAAGCGACCTCGACTCAGGGAAAGTTTATCAGCGGATGAGAAGCTGAGAACCGTCCGGCCAGACTTCATCTATCAGGTGTCTAATCCGGTCCTGAACAAACTGCTGGACGAGCTGCAGCACTGCAGGGTGATAACAGACGATGAGGCCGAGGACATCAGAACCAGAACCAGATCAGAAAAAGCCAGAGAACTCATCGACAGCGTGAGGAAGAAAGGAGCAGAGGCCAGCTCTAAAATGATCTCTGCGTTATGTTCCAACGATCAGTATCTGAGCAATGAGCTGGGCTTATTATGACGGACCAAACCGGACCGAGACCAGAAGATCTCATTTATACAGAGAGATTTAAAACGGTTTAATCTTTAGTTTGACAGATAATTATTAAAATGGTTGGTCTGTTTTACATTGTTCTTAAGAAGATTAACCTTTTTGTAGTGTCAAGCAGTAATTAAACAATAGTTATAAAGGAACTGAATTAAATAATAAAGACAATTACAAGAAATGTATTGCTAATCATAAATGATCAGACCTGGGTTCATGTTTATATTTAGAAACAGGTTTGGTTATAAAGGTTTTGACTGGGAGAGCCATCCGATCTGGCTGCATATCACCTCTTCCAAATTTCCATTAAGTGGATAAAAATTAAAAATAAACTGCTTGGTGATCAGATCCAACATGATATAGTAGTTCATCTCTAAACTTTACAAAGAATAATAAACCAACGAAGCGGTTAATTGGCCAATTCTAATGTGTTTCTTGATCTACTCATCTACCCTTTTCTTCTTTGGATCTATCTTAGTGAGTAGAAATATTTAGTTTTCAATTGCTTGCTTAATTCAAGGTCCATACATGTTTTGACTGTTGATTAACTAAGAAATCAAGTTATTGTATTAGAAATGTCTATAAAATGTGGTCTGCTCTGCACTGTATTCTTGACCAAATCTACTTTGCTCTTCATTAATTGACTTCCTGCACTAATATCAGCTCTGTTCTTTGACATGGAGTTGGTGTGCAAAGCATCAAAGAGAACAGCCGAGCAGGTTAAAGAAGCAGCGAGGGCTGGGATTATATGGGACACTTCAGAGACGCCCCACAGCACATCTGGTGAAACTACTCTGACTGACTAGAGTTACCTATTCTATAACACGTCAGTTCATGAACAGGTCTCCTTCTGTCTTGCTCACAGTCATAAAAACATTCCACTCTCCTTTGACCCAAAGCTTCCTTCCCAAACCTCAAACATGTCTTCTTCCTCCTCTGCCATTCCTTCCTGATTTTATGTGCTTGAACTCAACCAAATCAGTAGATGGTGCTGCTCCCTCTTCCTTCCACCTGTCTGTGTCTAGAAGTAAAATAAAGAGGCACCTGGGGAGACTGAATGGTAATAAGTCAGCAGGTCCTGATGGTGTGAGCACCAGAGTCCTGGAGGCCTAAGCAGAGCAGCTCTTTGGGATTCTACAGCACCTTTTCACCCTTAAGGCTGATTTATACTCAGAAACCAGGTTCCTGCGTGTGTGTCGCAATGCAAATGTTAATGTCAAATCTCTCATCAAATCAACATCCGCTCTACTCTATGCGTATTTCCTTTTTGGTACCTTACTGGCTTGTTTTGCTTGTATGACCGCCATTGTGGAAAACTACTCATGAAGATGGACCAGCTAGAAGAGCGATGTGTGCGAGAACGCTGGGACCCTTTTTCCACCTGGTTCCCCGCTCTTTTTCACCCTACTTTCCCTCCGTTGTCACTTAAACTTGACCCCACTTCCTCACCGCCTCGGCCGTATCTAGAACCACAGCTAGTTCCTTATTGTCCCTCTTGCATGGTGGCATGGAATAACATAGCGCAGACCACGCTTCAATATTGGGCAGCAATCAAAAATATCTGCCACAAGCTCACTGCGACACACTGCTGCAGGAGGGTAACCAGCCCTTCAGTCTGACCCTGGAGGCAGTTCCAGTGATGTGGAAGACCTCCTGCCTTGCCAATACCAAAGAAGACTTAGTCAGCATTCCTCAGAGACTGTGGACCTGTTGCTTTAACATCCCACATAATGAAGGTCCTAGAGAGACTTCTGTATGCTACTTTTTTTTATGAAGCACTTTAAATTTTCCCAAGGGCTGAAGTCTCTTCAGTTAACAACAGCAGACCAACACACAGACTCCGAGGACTTAAACTGAGGAAAACAAAGTGCAATACACCTTAAAACCAAAGGACACGCCTTAGACCAAAGTGTTCAGATTTGGGACAGAGAGGACAGATGGTTTGAAAGAGGCATCAGGGAAGCCTTCTTTTTGAAAAGAGAAAAGCTATTACCGAACTGGGAGAGAGGGGGGATTGTGGTTTTAATTTCCACACATTTACAATTTAGTCATGGAAATCATTCCCCAGGCCATACTTAAGCACTCCTACTATGATTCAAAAGACCAATTATAGAGCGATGCACAACAAAGGGTTCCAACCATCCAGTAGAACAAAGGGTGGCTATTTGATTAGCATCTGAATTGAAATGTGTGAGGGAGCATGGACCTCAATGCTGCTAAATGCTGCTCAACCGCAAGCCTCCTGATTAGGTGTCAAAATATCTTTAAAAAAATAGCTGTTTGCTGATGCCATGACCCGGATGACTGAGGATTTAAAGTCGTAGGGAATTGGCTGTTCCAACCGTTGCATTTCTGAATTCTCCTGCACGACTTTACACAGGTGAATGTGATTGGTTGATTATCAAGAGGGCGGCGTTGTTGTGGCGGAAGGTTCGCAAGCAAGTTTGATTGTGGCCAGTCTCTCTGAAGCATCTTGCTAACCAGTTAGCAACTTAGTGCTAGCAGGTTCCCAATGGGGAATTCCATTTTGACCAAGTAGGACTAGATTGGTGACTTAGAAACAACACTGTCAAGGAACGCTATGGACAGCAGAAACATGCGAGAGGAGGAGAGTTTTGTGTTGGAGGTCGTGGATGAGTCTCCACCATCATACATTTCTTGTTTAGAGGAAAAAAACGGGGACGAAGATGTTGTGTAAGAGGACGCCAGGGCGGCAGAAGCTTGGTTTGGTGTAGAAGGCTTCCAGCCGTACATGTTTGAGCCCTTGCCTCGCAACGCTACCAGTTCTGTTAGCTCTACGCCTGATGATTCTCATTTATTATTTCAACCGTTGCGTATATTAGCTGCGACATATGAATCAAGATGCTATGACTGAAAAAATTCAATTGACAGAAGACCGTTGATATACACTATATTGCCAAAAGTATTTGCTCACCCATCCAAATTATTGGAATCAGGTGTTCCAATCACTTCCATGGCCACAGGTGTATAAATTCAAGCACCTAGGCATGCAGACTGTTTTTACAAACATTTGTGAAAGAATGGGTCGCTCTCAGGAGCTCAGTGAATTCCAGCGTGGAACTGTGATAGGATGCCACCTGTGCAACAAATCCAGTCGTGAAATTTCCTCGCTCCTAAATATTCCACAGTCAACTGTCAGCTGTATTATAAGAAAATGGAAGTGTTTGGGAACGACAGCAACTCAGCCACGAAGTCGCCAACTTTCTGCAGAGTCAATCACTACAGACCTCCAAACTTCATGTGGCCTTCAGATTAGCTCAAGAACAGTGCGCAGAGAGCTTCATGGAATGGGTTTCCATGGTCGAGCAGCTGCATCCAAGCCATACATCACCAAGTGCAATGCAAAGCGTCGGATGCGGTGGTGTAAAGCACGCCGCCACTGGACTCTAGAGCAGTGGAGACGCGTTCTCTGGAGTGACGAATCGCGCTTCTCCATCTGGCAATCTGATGGACGGGTCTGGGTTTGGCGGTTGCCAGGAGAACGGTACTTGTCTGACTGCATTGTGCCAAGTGTAAAGTTTGGTGGAGGGGGGATTATGGTGTGGGGTTGTTTTTCAGGAGCTGGGCTTGGCCCCTTAGTTCCAGTGAAAGGAACTCTGAATGCTTCAGCATACCAAGACATTTTGGACAATTCCATGCTCCCAACTTTGTGGGAACAGTTTGGAGCTGGCCCCTTCCTCTTCCAACATGACTGTGCACCAGTGCACAAAGCAAGGTCCATAAAGACATGGATGACAGAGTCTGGTGTGGATGAACTTGACTGGCCTGCACAGAGTCCTGACCTCAACCCGATAGAACACCTTTGGGATGAATTAGAGCGGAGACTGAGAGCCAGGCCTTCTCGTCCAACATCAGTGTGCGACCTCACAAATGCGCTTCTGGAAGAATGGTCAAAAATTCCCATAAACACACTCCTAAACCTTGTGGACAGCCTTCCCAGAAGAGTTGAAGCTGTTCTAGCTGCAAAGGGTGGACCGACGTCATATTGAACCCTATGGATTAGGAACGGGATGTCACTTAAGCTCATATGTGAGTCAAGGCAGGTGAGCAAATACTTTTGGCAATATAGTGTATGATTGGCCAAATTTAGATGTTCAGGCTGACGTATAACTAACTGGCCTAAATAAGATAACGAAAAGAAATAAAACTTTTTAAGACAGGACTTTTTATTTAAATAGAAAATTTCTTAATTTTGTTTCTGATAAAGAGCACATTTATATACATGTTTAATCCAGAATAATTTGACATTTAAATATAATTTCTCTGCGACTTTAAACAGTTATTCTCAGGGTGCTCATCTTTCAAGTTAACATTATTCTTTTTGACTGTTGCCTTTTGAGTAGCCTGATAAACCAGACGAAATGGGAGATTAAATGTGTAATTTAGTCTGGCCCCTATGATGAGAATAACTCACTGTTTTTCAAACTGTGTCTGTGCCTTTTGGCCAACGCTCTGACCAATGAGCACAACTGACTGTGACATAGGAAGTGTGACAGGAAACTGGTGGGGGAGTGTAAACAAACAGCCTGTCATGATGTTACAAAGTTCAGACCCAAATGCAGAAAACCGAACAGAGAGACCAGAGAAAAGGTTTAACAGATTTTATTGGAAAAGTTAAACAGAGGGAGAAATGTTGCTCTGAACACTGCTCAACCGGAACTGAAAAGTGAGGGGAAGACACAGTGGTTAGTTCAGGCTCAGTGGGGAATTTGACTTGTGAACTTGGAGAAGAGGATTTGGTTGCTGACTCACGTTTCCAGAGAAGTTGTTGAATCCTTGACTCCTGTCTGTGTGCCGTGGTTCCAGTGTTTTTCTGATTCGGTGGAGGGCGGAATAGGGTTACCCAGAATTAGGTGTTAGTTGGTGAGCGGAGAAACTGACTGCGACTCAGATTTCCTGCGGGACTTGAACAGGTCGTTGTGGAGAATAATCCCTTTTTCAGTGAGAAGCTCAAATGATCTCTTGGGGAAAGTGGATTCAAACCTCCTGTTTGAACCCCAGCTCAGTTTGAAGCTCAGTTGATCCTTCCAGGGAGAGAAGGTCCGAGAAAACCAGTTTGCAGGATGACTTCCTGCCGAGAGGCAAAGACAAAAAACAAAGTTAAACTCAGGTTGACAAAAACTCAGTTTGACTCAACAAAACTCAGCTTGGCTAGAGTAC